GCACGTTTACCATCATCAGCAAAATAAAAATATAGATAGGACTGTATGAAAAAAATGGGAATGCACTTCCTGGGGTTAAAAACTAACATACAAAGTCACCATGTAAAAAAAAGATGGCTTGTGAGTGTTTACTAGTGCTGTAGTAATATTTTTGTCACCATGCAAACAGTTAAGTATTCAATACGTAATGAGTGAAAAACAGTTATAAAGAGAGTAGATGCCAACTTTAGAAAAAAGCCAACTAATAGACATTCTAGAATGAAAGATGTACATTTCTTAGCAACAGAGGCTCAGTCTATGCCTGAAACACAAATACACACAAAATATAAACATACTGAAGATAGATGCTTGAGGTAATGTTGGGTCTTCATGCTTAATTTTCAAACTGCCATCCTCTTTTATCCGCATTATACCCATTCTTTGGTGGCAAAGACCAAACTCCACTGGATTTCCCCAACTGCAGTGTTTCCTGTTGTGTTCTGAGGTGTATACTCTCTATTAATTGTATAGTAAGGGACCCAGGAGTGTGTGGTCTGCACTTATTTTGGGTGCTCAATATTTGCCCAATGCATGCCTAAAAGGAGACCAACTTATATTCTTTGTACCATGCAAATAACCATAGCACAGAGTAGCAACCATCAAGCTAGGATTCTGGTGAAGACACAGCTCTCTGTGGAACAAAGGTTTCTGTAATTTAGGAGGTCGTGCCACAGGTTCATAACAACCATGGGCACACTTCTTTCCTTTGTACCCAAGAACTGCAAAACTGAGTTGAGTTTCCCCACTTGGCATATTCTACAACTACCAATAGCCAACTTCTGTATTTGTATGATTTAATGCACATTAACATGAAAAAAGCTTATGCTATCAGGCCGTGAAAGCCAAAATAATAACAAAGCCCGGGGTAAGAATCATTTTCTCCAAGGTATATTGGTTTTTGAGTACTTTGACACCAATAAGAAATGCCTTGCTATTTTCTTTTCTAGGAAATACAAAATATTTAATTGAATATGTATTTTTAAAAAGCGAAAACCTCATTTAGAAATGACCTACTTCATTCTTGCAAAAGGATTTGTGTAATGTATTTCAGAATCTGGCCCTATAGCTATTCATTTCATATGCTAAGGTGGTTTTAATTTTTTAATTTATGGCAGTCACATGTACAGTATGACCTTCGGGTTGAACTCCTCCTGGCCAGAATTTTATTTTTAAGGTGCTAAGTGTGTTTACTACTGGCTCCTGAGTCCTTCCTATGGAATTTCTTATCAAGCATCTAACTCAAGATGCACCCAGACAGAAACAAAACAATATCCAAATAAACAAAGATGCGAAACACAAAATGTTTTTCCTAAGATGATCATGAAAAGAAAACTTGACTCAAATGACAGAGAGACACAGAGACAGAAATAGACAGAGACAGAGAGACACAGGCTAAAGCTATCACCAAGCTCAAAACCAGGTAATTTTACGTACATCTAATAGTCAATTAAGTAGGAATAAAGTTCCAAACAAAACAGTTTAAATCATGCAGTTTGCGCTCCCATTTTACAGAGAATATCTTCATAAACTACATAGACAAACTGACACAATTACAAAAAGCAAAAATGGGAGCTTCCAAATCCAACAGTGGTACAGAAACCTATGGTCAGAACATCACTAGATATGGAAGACAAGAGAGACGCTTAAGGAATCTCACGGTGAATCACAATGAAGCTCTGAATGGCTCCTGATCCAATTCTACTGCTCAAATTATTTTTTATTTGTAAAGAGATTCTAATGAGGTTAATGGCTTCCTAGTTGTAAAGCTGCAACTATGCTCATATGGCAGATTGCCACCGAATATTTCTTTCAGTACTCTACATGCTGCAAAAATTTCTCCCTTGGTAGGGCTTCCCTTAGACACACAGGCCTACAGACCTGCTCAAAGTAGGGCGACAGGAGGCAGAGTGTACTCTGATCCTCCCACCCCTGACATCTATGGTTTTGGGTGTGCAAAGTAGAGTTGGATGGGGTTTATAATTTCTCCCTTTTGATGGTGCCCAGGATGAAGCTGTAACATGTTTTGAGGGAGTCAGATGACTTGGAACAGAACGACAGTCTGCCTTCCTAATAAGGGGAACAATTCGATTATACTGGTTACAGAAGATGAAAGATAACATTGGAACACTTACTTTCAGAGAAATCAACTATGACCTTTTGAGTTTAAAAATATTTTTCTATTGCATTTATACATTTTTCTCATAGTGAAACTCTGACCTGGGGAATAGGTTTCAGTTATTGCATTTGACTGTGAGAAAAGAAACAGATGACTGTGGGCTATATTTATGTATTTTTTAAGGCTCTGGCTTTATGTTACTATCACTAGATTCGGCTGTCCAAGTTTTTAAGGCTAATATTGGCTGTAATGTACCAAACTGTGCAAGAGAGGAGTGGAAATTAATTTAGTTATTCATTTTTCAGGATTCAGTCTGGAAGACTTTTTAGGAACCAATCTAAATCAAGGGTGTAGTGTGGACCTTTAAAACAGGACACATAATCATTCAGCTCCATAACTGTTAGTCTGTTTGTAGAAAGGAGCAAATGTTAAACTCTACAAGTGTACTTTCTGGGCAAGACAAATATATATAAGACTGCTTGTTAAGATACAGGAAGCCTGGAAGATCACATCCATTAAGGCAATGGTTCCACGATGTTTTAGTAGCAATTTTAGTTTTACTATTCTTGGGTGTGCTGGTGAGAATCTGGGCGTTCATTACCACAAACACATTTGATGTGCAGAGAGAATTCAACTGCTAACATCAAGAGGCTAAAGTGCATCTATGAGATCATCTTACATTACCTTGAGCTGAGAGGCCAGCTGCAGAGAGACAGGCACAGACAAGTTGCTATTAAAGGTACCTTTGATGTGGACAGAAATAAAGCAGTGTTTAATTTTCAAAATTTCCTCTCAAATGAAGTCCCTGCAGTTGGAACTCACTGTGATAACAGTGAGTTGTAGACGCTAGAGGACCCAAGATTAGCTTGCTTCTGGAGTGAAGGATTAGGAGCTGTGAGCTGAAGCGACTCTGCTGACTTGTGAGATTGATTGGAAGAGGGGAGAACTTCAGGGAACATTAAAGGTCTTAAAAACAGAAGCCTATGTTAGTAAGAAGGGCAGCCACAAATGGAAAGTGTTCTACAGTAAAGAAATGTGTTTATACTCAGAGTGGACAAGCTCTTGACTGCCTTAAAAATTGTAAACCTGAACGCCTGGATGAAACTGTCCAGCATGACGGGTCACACAGACAGACTGCAAAGACAGACATACTACTGGTCTGTTTCAAGGGCTGACATATGCAGGGCTGGGGAGAATTAGGAGATATGATTGACATAGACATTAATAGGAAACTACACCTCAACCTGGTCATGAGAGAGCACACGCAGTGTCCTCACTAGGTGAGAGATAAGGAATCATAACAGCGAAGACTGAGTCCTTACTGCACACAGCTGACAGCACAGTGGCTGTGGAAGCCCCGGTTAAGAAGAAGCACCTCTGGTATGACAGAGAACATTTGAGAAATTCCATTCATTGTGCCAACAAACTCAGTTTACTTAAGCAGAAAGAGCTAACAAAGAACTAAAGCAGAGACACACACAAAGACAAGAATTAGGAAGCAAATTCTCTAGATGGAGCTCAGTTTAGAGTGAGACACACACAAAAACCCAATTGATGGATTTTCAGAAGTTTTAAAATTCAGTGTAGACTCTTCATAGTTTTGTAATCAATATTTAGAAAAATCTTCAAGAGTGGCTTATCTAGGAATTCTTTTTTTCTACTGTAATAGTTTGAAAAGTAAAAAAAAAGGCCTCAATTTAGACAGTTTGTTACGTTTCATCCACCGATGGATGCTTTTCTTTCACTGAACACTTTGCATTGTGTCAACTCTGTCTCTCTTGACTCTTGGATAGAAAACGTCCCCAGAAAAGTCAGTGTGACCCCAGACTGCCACGCCCTGGGGACTAAAGAGTAGCTGAGTATGCAGAGTGATGTGTGAGACAGCTGGTGTGTACAAAGAAGTCCCGTGATGATGCAGCACGAGACATGCGGGCTGGAGGGTCTCTGTGGTCCGCCTAGATACCATCTGGAAGTGGGTAAGTTACTTTTGTAAGAGATCTTCCCCTCCCCTACATGTTGCTGGGGTGGGTTCCTATAAACAGCAGCTGGGGAACCCTGCATGTCATGGAGGCAATGATGCAGTCACAAGCTGCCCTACCATGGTAGGCAGAAGAAGCCTACAACTTCTAGACAAACACCAGCACTGAGGCCCACTGGGCACCAGAAGGAGGAGGGCATGTTACCCTCCTTGGGAAATGTCAAAAACGAGACATAGTGAGACTCATTTTGAATAAGAGTTTCAGACAGTCACAGAGTTGTAATGAGTGCAGCTGCCTCCTCCACCTCCACATGCACCTAACAGCAGGGATGGGTACCTAGTGCCCGGCATGAAAAAAGACAGTGACTCCCTGTGATCTCCTACGACTGCCAAGGGCACAGTAACAGGCAGCAACCCTGTTAGCAGGTGCTCTCACAAGCAGGATGGCTGGCGGTGCACTCAGGGGCGTGGCCCAAGTAGACATGTGAAAGTTAGACGTGTGGATTTTCTTCATGTCGATTAAGATGAAATTAAGACAAAGCCATGACCAACGCCACTATACTTACCATTTTGTCAACTGTGACTAAGCAGAAGCTATCGGCGGATTGTCTAGTAGCCAGGTTGCCATTTCCTAGGGTTTTGCTTTGAATAGTGATGCTTAAAAGAATTTCTACTGTTAAATGATTGGATGTTATACAAGAGTTTCTGAGGTCCTCAAGATTCAACTCAATGCAGTTTATAATGTCTTAGGAATTTCAAAACAAAGGAAGAGTTAATTCCAAGGATTTCAAAGGATCTTGCTTCTTCTACATATCAGAGAGACAATATACATTCAGGACAATTTTAATGGTAATGAAGGTACCATACCTGTGATGATGGTAAGGATGGTGGTGGTGGTGGTGGTGGTGGTGGTGGTGGTGGTGGTTGTTGTGGGAGGAGGGATAGTTGTGGGGGGATCTGGATAAAAAAAAAAAGGAAAATCAAACCCACAATGCTGAACACAACAATGATCAGTAATGATAAAACAAAAGCATGAAGACATTGAGATGTTTGTCTGATGGCTTTCCCCTTTAACACCAAAAGGTCTTTCCCGTCAAAGATTTAGGTCTCGTAATTATATCCCAAAGTCTTAGGTGGAAGAGCTAAGAAGAGAAGAAAAAGAGGCTTCTCATTCATGAAGTAAGTTAGGGATGCGCAGGAGGAGGGAAACAGAGACGGAGGAAAGCTCTAAGCCCATGACATTCTCCTTCCCCATCGGGTTTCAAAGGTGAGGCCGAGTCACCTCCGTGCTAAGAGGGTACAATGGCTGTCATTTCATTTGTACTTTCACAGATGGGAGGAAAGAGAAGAAAGCACTCTCCATTTAAAGGACTGTGTCGGCCAAGGATGAGTGGACCCCTGTACACTTGCTCTCTGCAACTGCTAAGTTCATTATTTACCATCAATACCTCCCAGCAGGGAGGAAAACTACTCCTATACTCATAATAAACACAAAGAAGAGAGAATGTCACCACTAAATATCAAGTTCCAGGCATACGAGATTTTACTGAGATTTTATTTTTTGAAAGTCAATAAATTTTACAACTTATAAATATTAATAAGTTGCCTTTGCTCCTGTTAAAAGCTTGACCTAAGTGGATGACAGTGATAAAATGAAAGAACATTTTCTATCTTGTAAACAAGAGAGCTAAATATAAATGAGGTCTGACCCTCAAAGCCAGGAACCCGACAGGGAACCCTCTGTCTGGTATTTGATAGACTGTATATTCTTCTATCATCTCAAAAATTATTTTGGGCTGAGGGAAGGGCAAATATGAAAGAGAAAAAAATTCTAAGCCCAAATGATCAAACTGAATGTGTTAAGTTGTCAGCGAGACTTTGAACTAAGCAATCATTCTGCTATCATAGAGCATAAGGCGATTGGAAGGCTTTTGATTTTAAATTTTATCTAAAGCACATCAACTTTTTCTCCCTGACACATCTGGTGTCCTTTTATCTTCAAGTGAGCTCTCGGATTGTCTAATTAATACATCAAAACTTTAATTATATATTGTACCTTTACTGGGCTTTGTACAACTTCCTAAAAGTTTATGAAACCCCTGTTTGGTGCCTGGTTACAAGGTCTGCATACGATGATTCCTGCCACCAATCAATAATCCAGGTTTTAATTTTCCTCAAAAATGGCTTCTCTCACACAAACATACTTGTACAAATTTGACAGACAAGGATCAGTAGCAAACAGTTCTGTTTTATAGCGGGGGATTTGCTCCTTGAGGTTGGAGACACAGGCGAATCGCACTGTTGTTTAACGCAGCCTCACATGAGTCCCAAGAAGACTGCATTAAAAAAACAAAAAACAAAAAACTCATTATCTCCCAAGGAGTAGAAATGATTAAATTAGTAATTCAGAATGACCTTAAAAAAAAAGAACAGGGACCCTGCCATTCAGGCAGTGTGCTGTCTTCCTCCCAGCACCCTTTATTGGAGGCCACAGGAGGAGAAGCGTTGGTGTCCCGGCAACTCATCTGGACATGTTACACCTGCTGCAGGTGCTGGTGCAGAGACCAGACAAGTGTCCTGACCTGAGGCACCTCACTCTGCCCCTGCAAAATGAACTATGTTCGGAGGGGTGTCTTTGCTCAGCATGAGGGCAGTTAATGTGGTTTTTCTGTTTTGCTTCAATTATAGTATTTCCATTAAAAAGCACATGTATATTTCATAGACTTTTCTTGATATGCCACAGTGCTATTTCTGTACCTACTTCTCAAAGTGCTGGAACTAAACGTGTGCTGTCTACACTACAACAAAGTTGATCTACACGTGAACTGAAAATATGAATGTGAAGCCAGCAGTGGATAAGAATACCTAGGGCACGGATTTCAGAGAGGGGCACCAGGGCCTCCCATGATGTGAAAACCGCGTACTTTTAATTATCTTCATCACTACTGGGGCACATGTCCATATGTAGCTCAAGAAGTCTAAATGATTTCAGTGCCAATACTAGGTAACAACTCCATACTTAGATTGAAAGGAGCAAAACAAGACCACTATCTAGCTAATAAAATCTCTGGGGCTCAGGCACTAACCTGGATCCTTTATAGAAGTTACTTCCAGAGAATTAGATATTCTAGAAGTACAAGAACTTTTAGTTCACTAATTACTTACAAACTGCTATCGTATTATAATACATCCACTTTGGAAAAAAAGAAAAGCTAGCCGCTATATTCTCAAATTGCTACAATATTTCATTAATAGGACAGCAATAATGCAGGTTTGGTATTCTCACCTGCCATTCCAAGTCCTGCTACTAGCAAACACTGAGAAATATGGCAGTGTATCGGAGATCTATCAAATCCCCAGACACAGATAGGGTGGCCCATCTTGTGCCAAGGAGACATATATTTGTTAGTGTTTGTAATACAGGTGGTTTCCTGTGTTTCTGGGCTTTCATATAATGCACTGTGGCCCAGAGGGTTAATTAAAAAGACAAAAAAGATCTTATGTTGTAAGGTAACGTTATACTGGAAGGCAGGGCAAAGAAGACGATTTGGAAAGAAACACTAACTTTGTTGTGGATGTGGGAGTGCTGGTACTGTATTATGGTTCCAGAATATATCTGGCAGCTTTGTATGATGTTCCTAAACCTCATTTTGTCATCTGTAAAATGAGATGATAATGCTTAGCTCATGTTAAGATTTGATGGAATCGTGTACGTAAAACTGTCCTGACAGCACGGAATGCAGTGAGTACCAGAGTAGCTGTAAGCTACCATCTGTCTGTCCACTAAACTCTCAAAAGATGTCGTCTTGAGATGTAGGAACAGTAGGTACAATAAATCAAAACAGTTTTTTCAGCTAACTTACATTTCTGAATCATGAAGCATATAAAAGACTGGTGGAAATTTGTTACTTCTCTTTAAAATCTGGAGTTTATAATAAAGACCTGAGCTCAGGGTCTGCCACGCTGGTCAAAAGCAATGTAGGAGACTCCTGTGAGGCCCAGACCCTCAGGTGAAGGGGTCACATGCAAAAGCAAAGAGAGGAATTTATCTTCCACCCCTGCTGAATAATCTGAGCATAATTGACGGTTCGGCCTGATGTCAGCTGAAAAGCAGGCATGCCACACACCCTTCTCATCCACACGGAAGAGCTGGGCCTTGCACACGGATTTCCTTAACTTCTGGGGAGGATTAACGCTGCTTTGTGTGGAGCACCAACAATAAGGGGTAGTGTGCAGTAAGGGGTAGTGTGCAAAGAACATGCTCCACAAGTCTACAAAAATAGGCCCTTTTAATTTTGTACTATGTTGGTGGGAAGGGGGCTCTCTTAAATACAGATTAAAAAGTTTATTTTAACATCTAAGTAGACTTGCTGTAAAGCACGCTTTTATTTAAGAAAACTGACACTCCCCTTTTTCTTCATAAGGGAAAGTGTCCAGGTGTTCAGGTATCACCATGTACAATTTGTGTGCCTACGCATATACTCACGTACACTTACACTTGGATTATTTACACAGCTAACATGAAGAAACAAATGCCCCTCACCCCCACATTCATGTACTGACGGCACTGAAATTTTGATTCTTCTGGTTTACTAATACTATGTCAAGTTGGTTCATGATTATTTTCCTTGGTATAAAACTAACAGACTTCAATTGGATGAAAGAGATTCACTTTTATATCATAAGATTATAGTGGGGGCACACTTCTCAATGAAGTAGGAATTATTCACCATGTACCAAGTCAACTGTAAGATATTAACGGCAATGCCTTTTACATAGTAGATGCTCAGTAAATATTGAAGATAGAATAAAGTGCATGATGATATATTTTAATGACCCTGTAAAAAAATGCTGATTAAGAAAAATGAGACACATTTTTTAGAAAGGCATTTGCATCTAAAGCAGAAGCTCCAGGTAGTCTAGGTAGCTACTAAAGACCTTGTATTTGCTCCGAGTATATATTTACTGGCTTGCAATGTCTTCTGGAATTTAATAGCTTCATGCTGAAAATAGGATAGTTCTGCTCATCAAAGCAGGAGCGAGGCCAGCCCAGGCATCACAGGAAAATACCACTGGGAATAAACTTTCTGAGCTGAAAGCCGCTAATTGGTAAGGTTGAATTTTGCAGTCATTACTTCTAACATAATCTCCATGGCTGATGCCTGAGGACACAGCTTTCCTGCTCAGCATGACCAGAGACTGATGTAGTGGGAAATCCCCACGATTAGAGGGAGAGAAGAACAGTCGCTGGTGACCTGGGTGGAGACACTGGGGTCCACCTCGGGCCAGGCTTCTTTAAGTTCTTCAAGGAAACCAACTGGCTTTTGATTTTCAACTTAACCAAAAGCCTTGGGAGCAAATCCCAAGTAGCAGCTACCTGCGAAGCAGTCAGTAGAAGAGGGTTTCAGCTGCTCACGTACCGTACACATACAGCATGTAATCCGAATGAGCTTTCCCCACTGTGTTTGAAGCCTCACAGCGGTACGTGCCGTTATCTGTTTTGTTTAGGTTATTGATGAAGAGGTTGGGCCCAGACAGTACAGCATGTTGAGGCATTTCATCGTCCACTCTCACCCAAGTCACCATCACGGGCCTGTGGAGGCAAGGGGAGAACACCCAGCACGTCATTATTTGTCATTCGGGTACCTGCGTCAAGCTTCTCACCCACACACTCAATGACTCAACACAGGGTGACACAGTTAAGAGGACCTACGGGAGATACCTTAAATCCATAGAATTACAGAGATACCTTAAATCCACAGAATTACAAACATGGTATCTCCAAAGATCTGTCCAAAATACAACTTAAAAAAAAAAAACACACACAAAACACCATGATCAGGTGTCGGAAAACCTCCACCAACCACAAGCAAGAGGATTCTTATTATTTCCAATTCATCTTCAACAAGTCAGCAAATAAGCCAATGGGGCCCTACGTTTATGCCCTGCTGTAGGCTTCACAGCAATTTAAGCAGGACAGAACTTAGCTATTGTTAATCATGCCATTAATTAGAAAAGTAAAATCAAGTTCTTGGCTAGTGATACATGCAATGATCTAAGAATTAGTAACACACCAAGACTGAACAGCCTCTGCTATTTGAGAAACTACGTGTAATGCAAGAAAGATTCAATTACTTTCTCTCCCTTAACCACTCCCCTAACCTGCCTCTCCTCACCCACAATGCACTCTGATACCCTGGCCCAACTGTCCATCTGCCCAACTGTCCCCTTGGCCAGTAACTGCCTCTTATTCTTGGCTCTGTTAGGCCCACACATTGCTATACCTTTTCCTTTAAGTATATCTGAAGCTGTCCAGGGCTCTCGGGTTAATTACTGCAGAGTACATTTCTACATAGACCCCTTATGTCCTACCTGCCCATCAGAGACAAGTTTACCTTAGTGATTTAAAATACCACAGTTGTATCCATTAGAAAAAAGCAAATTTGAAAGACATTCCTTAGCCCAAAATGCACTCCTATCAGGTATCTTTCAAATTTGTAGAATCTGAAAACTTCTGCCCTTTAGGGTATCTCCCCCAACCTTCTATAAAATCTAAGAGTGTGTCTGAAAATTTTTATCCCTTATATGTGTGAGACAGAACCCAGAACTTTGTGCGTATGGGGCAAGTATGTACCATTGAGCCGTGCCCTGAGGCCCAAACTTTCATTTAAAGAGAGGACAAAAGGATTTGAGTACAGAAGTGTTTACTCTTGCTCCCCAGCTCCTGACCACCACCTCTAAGAGCAGTGACGTGACGAGGGACCCACGCTTAAAGAGGAGCAGATACTCAGCCCTGTCAAGTGGCATTCCAGTTTTCAAATGGGATGTGAAGTTACAATTTTTCTTTAATTACACACGGGTTTGTCATCTCAACCCAGTAAATTATTTAAAAATTAGTACTGCATATGTCCTCTTCGTAGGCGATGGCAAATGGGTCTGCCTGGCAATCAGACCTAATGTCCTGCTGCTTGACAGCTGAAACAATCAGTGGGGTTAGTGCTGAGAATATTCACAACATTTAATGGCAAGTTAAATTACCACTTTTATTATATGTAATTTCTTGAGAAAATAAATAGGCAATATGCTAGAAGGGACAGTGGCTGAGTAATGCGTGCTTGCTCACACAACCATATACCCATTCCCATTTGAGAGCAACAAACGAATGCCCTCTCTGGCATAAATGTCCTGAAGGAAACGTGTAATTTACTGTCCTTGCGACATTCAATTGAACATAGAACCTTCTTCAGGAGAAAAAATTACTGAGACAGAATACAGGTTAGCAAGCCACATAGTGTAAATGTGGTTAATGTGACTGAATATAGGTATTGTTCGGGCCAAGAGGCCTTTGAAAATCTTTTTTCCCTTCATTGGACTGTTTTGGTACCAGGGATTGAACTCACGACCACGCACTTGCAAGGTAGGCGCTTATGCCGCTGAGCTAAAGCCCTAGCCCCATTGCACTGTTTTGGAGGCAAGGTAAGCTGGTAACTAGAGTACAGTTTGGTTTACACACACACACACACACACACACACACACACACACACACACAGACACACAGACAGACAGACAGACAGACACACACACACACACGATCTGTTTCTTCTTGCAATGCTAGACAATAAAAAACAGTGCTCTAGCAAAGCCCCCCTCTCGCCTCCTGACGGTCACCTTTAGGAGTGCCAATGGTTACACGGAGGGAAGGCTATTCCAGTCCATGGAGGGTTAAGCATAAAAACAAGGAGAGCTGAAGTGGGAAGGAAAGATCTGACCACTGCCACCTTCCCTTCGCAGAACGCAGCTCAGCTCTTAGCTATCACGGAAGAACGATTTTCAGGGAGTTTTGTCACTTGAAGGTTCAAATAAGCAAAACTCTCAGTTTAAAAAAAAAAATCGTGCCACAGGGACAGCAGAGGGAGCTCAATGCTGGCTTTTTGTTGGGTATCACTGTAAGTTTGAGTCCTTCCTCCTAACATCAACATGTTCTTGGATACCAAGGATAGTTTTTCCCTATAAGAGTTAAGAAAACGAAAAAAAAAAAAAAAAAAAACACAACAAAAAACCAAAACAAAATAATAGTTACTTAGACAAAGATCCTTAGATCTCAAAAGTAAAAGGAAAAATATTTAACACGGCTTTAAAAAGAAACCCCACACTTAGCAGTGATATACATAGTTCCCCTAATTCACTTTAGATCATTTTGTAGGAGGAAAAAGTACTTTTCGTAACTTTCAATAAAATGAATCTTAGTCCTTCTTCTCTTGTGCAGCGCCATATATATCCTCTTTCAGGAAAGTTCCTCAATCTGTACTTAATAGAGAAATATTTCTCACAGTCACATGTGACACTTTTGAGGGAAGAAGATACAAAATTAAAGATGGGGCAAACCTGTCTGCCAAGAGCTATTCCTAAACATAGCAGCTTTCTTCCAGTCGAACAGCTAGCTTTCCAGCAACTTTGACACTGACACAGGAGGTAGCGATATTTCATTAGATTCTGAGCACACAAAAAATACATTAGAATTATATTTTGGGTGAGGAAAAATCATCCTGACAATCATGTTGGTGGTGATAAAATCGAATTAGCTGAGATCTCAATCTAAACTGGTATTTTTCTTCCAATCCTGACCATTAAGAATCATAGGTATTTCTCCCCACCCAATTAAATATTGTTTATTCTCCAAAACAACTTTTATCCTTTATAGCAGAAGCAGGTGACACTGAGTTGCGAATGCACGTCTTTGTGTGGTGACATTTACTGCTCATGACCGTCTGCCAACTTTGGCCTGCAGGACTTACTGGGGCTTCCCGATGGCTTCGCATGTTAACTCAAGCGAGTCCCCTTCACGCGTCAGGCCTTGCAGAGGGTAAGTCATCTGAATATGCACTTGAGGCTTATCTGTGTGCAACAACACAAAGCACAATGTTTAGCAAATGATATCATCAGGCAAGAAATCACACTTGCTGCTGCCAGCCCCACAGCACCAGCAGTCTCCTCCCCTTCTCATGCGTTCAGGAGCAGCCTTCTAATTAGTTAGTAATCCTGGCATTTGCTCAAATTAAATTGACTAATAACTCTAAGGAGTGAACCACAAATAGATAAGAGATTCATAAGCCAACTGTGCCACATCAAACATTTCCTGTGAAATACATTTTGTTACATTGAAGTTTATCTCTAAACTCACTCAAGCTAAAGGAAACTCATTTGCCTTCATGCTGAGGTGAAGCCACAGATATTTGTGGTGCTCAGAATTGATACATTTTATAATATATCATATATTACTATGTGACAATATGTTGTGACACTGCATATTAATGAGTCTGCCTCTTTTATCCTCTTGTTTTCGAATGGAAAAGGCAGAGGGGCGGGATGAACTACACTCACACGGCTTTGTGAAGAAAGGAACTTGGAGGTTCGGGTGGCTCCCAGTGAAGCTGGGATATCTCAGTATAAATAGAAAAGAGGAAGGGAAAGGGACATTTACCCAGAGCCTATTTGATGTGCACTCTGGTACCTGCAGGATGAAACAACTACCTCAAGGTCATACATACAGAGACACACCAGGGACAGCCCCGAGGAAGGGATACTGGGATGGATTTCTGATGCAAAACTGCATTTTCCAATGGCAAGTCAGAATCAAAAGTTAGAATCCACATGGATAGACATTCAAATACTTATACAAATAAAATGTAAATGACATTGGTTTTTTTTTTTTCTGTGTTGAACCAACAAGCCACTAATTCCTCAATCAGTTTTCTCATTTAATTCTATGGCTCTTTAAATGTGTATTTTTGGAAACATACCCAAGAGTACTAAGTGTGAGAGGGCAAGACATCAGTTTGCTGAAAGGTCAAAACAATTACCATGGTTTTACTTTCTCAGACAATCATGCCACCTAAACAGCAGCCTCTTTGCCTTTTACAAGCCGTGCTTGGCTCATTAGCATTCATCCTATGGAATAAGGGGGAAGACAGAAATATGGCTGGGCTCCGACGACCTCACCCTGTTCACAGCCACACAGGCTGCACAAGGAATTCCTGTCCAGGCACAGCGGAGTCCAGGTGCACCTTTACAGTCCTGGTCCTAGCACAAATCCTTCCCTCGTGTTTCTGAAAAGCACATGGTCAGAATGTTTTCAGAGAGTCCCCTTGTATGCCTGTGGTTGCACTGTACACTGTGAATTGGTGGTACTTTCAGAGAAGCTACGTCAGTTGCCAGAGAACATCGAGTTAACAAGCCCCAACGCTCCAGCTGACCCTTGCAACATGGCTGACACAGTTCTCTTCTAGGTCTTGTTGGCAAAGAAAATGTTTAAGGACAAAACGGCAAGAGGTTTCCAAATACCAAGAACTGCGTTGGGAAGGCGGTCATTAAAGAAGGTGGAAACGCTCATAAACATAAACACGGTGCCCCTGAGCGAGTGCTGGACGCAGGGCTGAAGCAAGAGCTCTTGGGTACCTATTTTTAGAACTACAGCCCACAATGTTTAGCTAAATATTATCAAAGTGGCATATGTGTGCCCACTGTTGGTTGTGTAAGCCCCTCCTCCAACCACAGTTAGTTGATGAACTCTATTTTTAAAAAGATACAGAAAAATCAATGGGGGAAGGTCATGACGCTAAACACATAGATAACAAAAGACCTGCCATCCAAGAGTTCATACTTAGATACGAAGCAGCACTCCACCGTGACTGGAACTGCTGTCATTTTTACTTGTGAACCATTCTCACCAAGGGTAAATTTAGAGCTCAAAATTTGAGCTAAAATGTAACGTTTGCTTACAGGTTAATCTGTGATCCACAAAAGGGCTACATTTTTCACGCACTGCTGACTTAGGCTCATTAATTAAGGAGAAGCAGAATGCTTGCTGGCCTGTGTGGAAAGTTTCCATCAGTTTTATTTTTTCCCCTTTGTGCAATTTATAAGCAAACAGAAACAGTATGTTTTTCAGTACAGTGAACTAAGTTTACATGCCCAACTTCCACTAATAAAGGAAGTGTTGAAAATCTAATCTACCCTGCCTCTTCATTACCACTGAGTCTGTTTTTGTTAACTGCTTTTTTATGTTCCTAATGAGCTGTTTATCAGTTGTCAATTACTTACACAAATCAGGAAAAACAGCTAAACACTTGCTATACCTGGAATTTATACAAAACAATCACATGCTAAGCCACAGAAAATACACTGTCAGTTTTGATAACTGAATTTATCAATTTACTTTTTAGATTTCTGAAGAAGTACTTATAGATGTAGTTGCCACAGTTAACTTAATAGCTGAAAAACCAAACATGAAACTTTCTTACAGTATTAAACAGAAAAATGTCCCCCCGATGACATATGCAGTATTTATGGGCATATCATATAGCTATGGGCAGCTGAATTATCTTTGTATACTCTGAGTTGAATGCAAGTTTATATGCCAAGACATGTCCCTGGGTGATAGAAACTTAAAAATAGGGCTGTTAGTATTCTCAACAGGAATAGAAGCCCTGGGATTCCACCAATAACTTTAGAATTTGGGTATGTTAAAATTTTTTTCCTTCTCTCTCTTTTTTTTTTTTTTTTTTTTTTTTTTTGCTGCAATTCTAATTGGTCTTGAACTCACTACGTAGCCCAGGCTGGCCTCGAACTCATGGTGATCATCTTGCCCCAGCCTCTGGAGTGCTGGGATTACAGGCATGTGCCATCACACCTAACAAGTGTGTTAAATTTTGCAAGGAAGAAAATCCTGTCCTACAATGATGTCAAAATGTCCAACAGCTCAAATGGCTGATTGAATAGCCCAGAACTCATCTCTTATATTTTAATTATGTTCATAAGTCAAACATTATAACCCACCAAATCTTTTCTGAAACAAGACCAGACTCTAAGATTTATTTTTAAGTAATGAGGTAAAGCCTAGTTAGTACATTTTCTGCAGGATCATTTTACGCCTTGGTTGGTGTTGTAAAGCACAAGGCTAAAAGCCAGATGATATGTTCTACCAAAGTGCAATAACTGTCCAGAAATCTATTGCTCAGAATATCTTAATGTCATTATAAAATGGAACTGCTATATAAAAATAAGAAAAATAGTTAGGTCTGTGCACTTAAGGAACATTATAGTTACAGAGATGGCATCACCAACAGCCAATCAATTAGGTCAAGGGTTCTGAGGTTTTCATAATACACTGCAATTTTTAAAAAACCCTATAAAAAACACTTAGCAAGACCACTATGGCAGACAAAATTTGTCCCCTAGACAAAGTTGTACAGAGGGTTAAATACCAGGAGGCTGTAGGTCACATTACACAGCAACCAATAAAAAAAATATTATTAAGACATTCTGATTTGATGAGACTTTCTTTAAATGCACTTTACTTTCTCTATAAAGGGAAAAATATAAGAGGAAACTCTTAAAAGAGGTTAGAATGGCTTGCTGGCAGATTACAATTTATTTCATGCCCGCCTGACCTTGTACACACTGTATGATCTTCTCAGAAGATAAAATTCAAGATTCTGTAACCCGAATTTCATGTCCCATGTAAATGAAAAAAATACAGTCTCCTCTTAAGAGACCAACACTAACAGAGCAGGTCTTTGAAGACTTCAAAACTTACTTTACTGGTACATTTTGGACATACATAACGATAACATGCATCACAGGGAATTTGTACCTGTACCTGGTATATCTTGGTCCTTTTTTCCCCTTCCCCTCCCTCCCTTCAACACATCCTCCACTCCTTACTATTCTTTTTTCTTGTTCTTTCTTTCCTTCTTCCTCTCCCTTCATTGTTCCCCTTCTCAGCTGAACATCTTTCCCACTTCCCAATATCTATTATACATTTTGTTGTTTACATGTTTGGTTTCTCACAACAGAGAAATCAAGTGATATTTACATGTGTCCAATTAATTTCACTTATGAGTACAGTGTCAAAGTACATCCATTTAGCTAGAAATCGTTCAGTCTTGTCCTCTGTGGCAGAGCAGTGCTTCACTGCACAAAAGCAGCACAGCTTTTTGATCTGTTCGTTAGTTGATGTGCATTTAGGTTGTTTCCGACATTTGGTTATTACAAACCGTGCCACTATAAACACCAATGTGCATGTATCGCTGTGGTATGACACTTCTAATTCTTTCTGGAATTAAGGAGACCAAGAAGGGGAATAGCTGGGTGAAACGGCACCTCTAGTCTCGGTTCTCTATGGAATCACTACACCGAGTGTCTACATCAGTCTACACTTCCACCAGCGGTGGAGAAGGTTCCTTTTGTCCCACACTGACACCCTTTGTTTTTGGTTGATTTCTTGATAGTAGCCATTTTTCTGGAAATGGACTCTTAGCACTGTTTTAATTTGCATCTTATATGACCAGTGATGTTAAACATCTTAAAAATATATTTGTTCGCCATCTCCACTTCAGCTGAGAAGTACTCACTGAGTTTGTATGCCCGCTTTTGGATTGGTTCTTTAAATTTGGGGCATCTGATGTTTTTAGTTCTTTATTCTCGATATTTTTCCTTTGTCTGAGAACAGCTGGAAAAAATTGTTTCCCTCACCATGGGTTGTCTCTTCACTCTACTGGCGGTTCCTTTTGTTGTGTAAGTTTTCTTTTTAATAAGAAGGGATGCAAGATGCTGATTCTTTGTGATACTTTCTGTGATACTGTGGGGGTTTTTCCATGAAGTCTGCCTACATCAGTGTCTTCAAGAGATGTACCTATTTTATCTTTTAGCAAATTTAGTGCTTCTGTTTTAATATTTAGATCTCTGATCCATTTTGACTTTAGTGCATAGTGAAAGCCATGGGTCTAGTTTTGGCATGTGGAAAGCCAGTTTTTCCAGCACCATTCATTAATCAGGCTTTCCTCCAGTGACTATGTTTGGTTCCTTTGTCAAAAATAAGGTGGCTAAGTGTGTTT